TACTCTGCATAGTCTCAGCAAGAGGCCTATTTCACTGGGCAAGTTCTTTTAGGAATTCTAATCAGTTATAGGCTGAAGACAGGCTTACAACTTTTCTGTAATTTTGTTTCCCAACAATCCTTTGTATCCCACTCAAGTGTCTATTTTACAGTAGTAGGCAAGGGAAACCAATATTCATAATACACTGGAGCATCTTAGTGTTATTTCCCCTCTTCAAACTATGCCTAGATCTTTGTATCACAGAGCCCTGTTCTTCCAAGATTGAGCATGCATCACTATTTACCTCTGTCCCACTTAACCCATGCAAACGTGCCTCAGTGTTCCCCTATCTATCTTGTTCTTCCACCTCCTCCCACTTGTATTGCCCTCCCCAATACCCAAGTATGATGTGTCTGCCCTTACCCTGTGCTCTACCGTCGGCACCCTCCCACTAATTCCCCACCCAAACCCCACCCTTGTGGTTACCTTATATTCCATTAATTTTCCCTCTATTTAAGACAGTCTATTTTATCCTGTAGTCAAGACCATCTCACCACCTGGATTATATATTTACCTTCTTTCACATAGTAATGTTTTTAATCATAGACTGACCTCCCAGATTCTCTGAATTTGTTCTTATAGTTTTGTTCTGTTTTGGTCTCTTCCATTTGTCGATTGAGTTCCGGTTGGTGCTGCCACGTATGTCAGTCTCTGGTTGTTGTCTGTTATTGTTGGTTCTCAGTCCACAGAACTCTGTTTAAGATGTTTTTCATCACTGGGTTGGATTTGGCAAAATCCATTAGCTTCTGTTTATCCTGGAATGTTTTGATTACACCCTTGTATTTGATGGTCAGTTTTTCTGCGTAGAGGATTCTTGGTTGGCAGGTGTTTTTCCTTTCATGTTTTTATATATGTTTCCCCATTGCCTTCTTGACTGCATGGTTTCTATTGACAGATCCGAGCTTAATCTGATTTGCTTGCCTTTGTATCTTATACTTCTCTCTTCCCTAGCTGCTTTCTGGATTTTGCCTTTATCTTTTATTTTGGAGCGCTTGATTATTATATGTCTTGTTGATTTTCTTTTAGGGTCTATTCTTCCTGGGGTTCGTTGAGCTTCTTGAATGCTTATCTGTTAGTTTTTCAGGATGTCAGGGAAATTTTTTTCCAGCAGCTCTTTAACTTACTCCTCTGTGAACTTGTGTGATTATTCCTGTTCCTGGATGCTGATAATTCTTAAGTTATTTCTCTTCATGGTGTCCAGCATGAATGTTAGGCCTTCTTCAGATTTTTTT